TTGATGATGACTTGAAAACCTTTTCCTCTTCTTTATCTCTTCTCCTCGTTGGCTTGCCTTCTGTTTATGTTGCCTTAGATTTTCTCTCTTCTTCTGACTTGTTGCCTTGAGCTTGCTTTCGAAACTGTTGAGCTTGATGGTTGCCTTCTTTGCTCGTATGCTTATGTTGCTTGCTTTTTGATTGCCCTATGATGATATCTTGAGATGCTTCTTTCTTCTTCTTCTCTTGCTACTGCTACTGTATGATGTCTTGAATGTTTGTTGCCTTTTGCTTATGTTGGCCAATGATGAGATAATCTGAGGCTTTGGTATAGAGGTTTGGAAATTGGTTTAGGCCATGTTCTTGCTGGTTTTAGGTCATGAAGGTTTATGAGACGCTTCAGGTTTGAGGCTTTTGGTGGTAAGGCTAATACAAGTCTGGTTTATGGCTTGTTTAAGGCTTTAGGTTAGGCCTGGTTTTTGATGAACTGGTTATTGGCTTTAATGAGGCAGGTTCGATGGTTTTAGCAGGTTTGATGGTCTAGCTGGTATGGCTAATGCAGGTATTGGCCTTAACAGGTTTCATGGTTTAGCAGGTAAGGCTTGGCCTTGAACTTGTTTTCTTTTGACAGGGTGAGGCTTCTGACTTGCTTCAGGCAGGTTTTGCATATGCAGGTTGTATGGTTTATTATTTTTTGTGATATTGGTTTGATGGCTCAATCAGGTTTGGGGTTTTTCTGGTTTATGTTAGGCTTCAGGTGAGGTGAGGCTTTGGGATTTATGGCATATGCCGGATTTTGTTGCTTTTGAAGCTTCACAGGTTGGAGGGATTTTGTTATGGTTATGGCAGTAGTTCTTTTAGGTTGGAGGGCTTATGCAGTTTGTATCTATTTTTTGTGTGGGTTTTTTGTTTTTTTGATATCTGTCCTTGGTATGGCTTTGCTGTTGCAATTTTTATATTTGTTTTTTTGTCTTCCAGCCCCTTGGTCCCTTGGCGCCTAGGATCTTTTTGAATATTTCAAGCTTTGGCATCTTTTCTTGGGTCAAGCTACTGGGCCGACTTGCAAGGTTTTGGCATTTCCTGTTTTGTGATTACTTCTGCTGTATATCTCTGTCTAATTTGGGCAGTACTGATATATGCTTCTTTTAGCCTTTTGCCTTACTGTCTTATTGCAGTTTTACTTTCTATATTTTCTTTATGCCTAAAGCCAAACAGTAAGCCCACACTTCTCCTCTTTTCTTCTCTCTCTTTCCAATATTTAAGCATATTAAATTGCTTATTATGCATAAATTCTGAAAAAGCAAATTGGCCTAGGGAAATGATGCAGTGATATCCTGCTTGCAATACATGTTGAATACTGCATATTTTGTCTTCTCCTTTCTATGTTGTACGCTTCTTGACAGTATTTGTGTCTTTAGCTAGACCAATCTGTTTGCCTTCATAGTTTGATTTGCACCACTGTTTGAAGCTATGCAGTTTGACCATCTTTTGAATTGTGCAATTTTTATATTTGTGCATTCATCTTTAATTTGCAAATATTTTTCACCCCTCTTTGTGAACCGGGAGAAATCCCGTGATTTGCAGAGAGGGTCAACTGATCCCGGCCGATTGCTTTTAATGATGAATTGTCTGTCATTATTTATTTATCTGCTTTTTGACTTTTCTCCTTTTTATTTATTTATTGCAGATGAATAATTTGAATGGAGGGGAGCAAAGGATGAAGATTGAAGAATTGGGGACTTAGAAAATATTTAGAAAAAATAGGATAGTTTTATTTTCAATTTAATCATTGTAACTATTATTATTATAAATACTTCGTAAATGAATACTTGTATCTAAATAATAATTGTAACAAATGTTTAAATATGAAATAAAAATTCTATTGATCCGTTTAATTCTTTTTTATCCCTTTTCAATTATTTACTTATTATTTATAGTTCCTTAAATTAAAATAAATGAAAATTAAATTTCAGATATTTAATCCTTAGAATAATAAATAATCAACTAAACATTGATTCTACGTTGATCAAAATAAATGAACTTGGCGCCTCCATCATCCAAAGCAACGCACAGTCAAACGCAATAACTGATCAGACGCGTTCCTTTCTTACTGATTTCTTACCAAGCATTATAAATCCAAACTGCATATATCTTTTGACTGGTTCAATCAAACGAACGTGAATTCAAACCAACTGCCTTCTTTTACTGATTAAATCAAACAATGCGAATTCAACCCGAATCTCGGAATAACTTGCAAAGTGCTGTGGAATTTAAATCCTTCTGAGAATGTGCCCAAAAACCCTAATTCCTGATTAAATGCCAAAGAAACGTTCGCCTGATCGAAGTTGAGCCAAAATCAACCAAAAACCCTAAACCAACTGTGTGAAACATCCAGGGCCCTGATAATCAATAAAACCCTAATTGTGTCCTAACTGACGAGAAAAGTCTGTTTGACCGATTCTTGAGCCAGTTTGAAAAATCAGGAAATGCCTGAAGCTGAGATTTCTTGTGGTAAAATGCGAGGGCAAATTTTGGGGTACAACAACTGTAAATTGACCATAGTTGACTTTTTCCCAATATAGTTGATTTTAGGTCAATTGATCAATTGACTGAGCAAAAATGTGATCCAAGCCTTGAAACTTGACATGAACAATCTTGAGAGTCCAAAATGATCCATGAAATTCATATGAAGCATTAAAAGTCAATTTGTCCTTGTGCAAACTCAAACCCTAATTTTCAGTCATCAGTGTTTGAGGAGGTGTCTTGAGCTGATCAACCCTTGTGCAGTCTTGAACCAAAGGAGATCTTGTGAGAGATTACTTGAGAAATGAGAGGGAAAATTTTGGGGTACAACACCATACCTTCTACATGGAGGTATTTATCATCAGCACATCTGATCTTTGTACTCTTCCCAAAGTCTAAATCAACCAACCATTTCTTGTTTCCAATAAGATGGTTTGAACACCATGTGTCCATATACCACCATTCTGATGAATTCATGTCATCAGTTTCAGAAGCCAATAATAGCACAGGTTCATCATCAGACTCTCCTCTAGCTATATTTTCTTCTTCTGACTTCCTTTCTTTGTTTGACCAACAATCTTTGGCATAGTGACCAAAGTTCTTGCAATAGTAATACTGAACATTCTTCTTGTCATACTTCTCCTTTCCCTTCTGGATATTGTTCGGCCTATCAGAGTTTGAAGCTTCTGACCTTTGACCATCATTAGTTTTCTTCCTGGCTTCTGACCAAGTCTGCTTCTGATACTTCTTACCAGAAGTTGCTTTCAAAGCCTGCTGCTTTACTTCCCTCTCAGAAGTTCTCTCAGTCATACGCAACTCATGCGCCTCTAGACTACTTTGCAGCTCTTCAACTCTCATGATGCTCAGATCTTTAAAATGTTCAATTGCTACAACAATGTAATCAAACAGAGAAGTTAAAGATCTCAATACCTTCTATATGATTACTTGTTCAGAAAGGGTTTCTCCACAAGCTTTCATCTCATTAGTGATCAAAATCACTCTAGAGATATACTCAGAAATCTTCTCGCTGTCCCTCATGTTGAGATTTTCATATTGCTTTCTTAGGTACTGAAGCTTCACCTTCTTCACTGACGCATCACCACTGTAATATCTGACCAGTGTGTCCCACACGATCTTTGTTGTTTTAGAGTCAACAATTTTCTCAAACACATTCATATCCACACACTGATAGATGTAGAACAATGCCTTCTGATATTTCTTCCTTATCGCCTTCTGCGTTGTCTTCTGTGCCTCCGTCGCGTCTGCTGCTAACAGAGCATAACCATCGGTGACAAGATCTGACACATCTTGAGAACCGAACAACACACGCATCTGGATCTTCCAATGATTCCAGTTTTTGCCATCAAACACTGGAAGCTTGGAACTGATATCGCCGTTTCCGTTCATCTTCAACCTTGTGCAGCGTGTTTCCCCGTGGATTTTGAACCGGAGCTCTGATACCAATTGTTGGTGCACAAAGGAGAGATGAAGGATAAAAGGAATATATTAAATGATGACTACAAAATAAAGAGTAATGAATTATATTGACCTACCTACTACTAGGCTATTTATACACAATATTAGAGTATAATAAAATACTAAAATATCCTCTAACAAACTTAATCAACAAGACATTTCTAAAATATAAATTATTTCCAACAAATTGCACTAGACTCAATTTTCGATGCAAAATGTAAGTTAAATTTACAAGTTTATGTCCAAACTAAATTACCTTCATAGGAAAGCAGTAAAAATCTTACAAGTGAAACACTTTGAGAAAATATAAATAGATATTATTGGGAAGCCGTCAAAATCATACTAGTACTACGGAAGCATTATGAGAAAATAGAAATAAATATTTTTGGTACATATCAAACTCTAAACAAATAATTTGATTTCATTTTTGGAAGATTAAAAAATCAATTTTAGATGTGTAGAATTAATTTTGAATGATTTTGAAGTGTTTGATTTTTCAAAGTAAAATTGATTCTGTTTTTAGATTTAATTCTACTTAAAATTAAAATTTGTAATTTCTATTTCTAAATTTAATAATGAATATTGACACTGATATTTACTGTCCAACATATTTTTACATAAATATATTCAAATAATTTGATATTTCTTAAACCTTCGTTCTTTAATAAAAGTTCATTTATCACTAGAGTCTAAATAATTAATCGTTTGAGCACTTAGTATTTTGATTACATATTAGAGTCATTGGAATAGTAATTTCAATGTTTATTTTATCAATTTGTTTATTTTTTCCCGACTCTATCAAGTATTTTCAAGAGACAGAATCTATATAGTTGGGTGATTCAAGAGTTGGAAAATCAAAATTTCCCAATGATCAAAATTTGAAGACAAAATAACAAGAATGTAATGTGTAATTGGGTAAGGTGGGGACCACAGGTTCTATCTTGAAGATCTTGCAAATAATAAAGCTCTATCTTAAGATCATATCACATTTAAAATCCCAATTTCACTTCTTCACACCCAAATGGAGATGACCCTTTCTTCCTCTTCTGCGTTCTCTCTTCCTTCTACACCTTCCAATCCTCGTTCCTCGTTCCCTTTGTCATCGTTCAAAACCTCACCTTTCTCCAAATGTCGCATCAGGGCTTCCCTTGCCGTTGAGCAACAAACCCAGCAGAATAAGACCGCTCTTATCAGAATTGGTACCAGAGGAAGGTAATTTACTCTTTTCCGCTTCTGGGTTCTTTTCCTAGTGGCTTAAATGAATCAACTTTAGTTAAATTTTGCATTTTTATAGTGTTTAGTTAAATGGGTCTTTGCTATGTTAGGTTAAATTGTGTTTGATAAAGCTGTTTTACATGTTGACTTAGTGAATAGGGTGTTATTGAATTTGGTGATTGTACTTATTGCCAAATTTTGATTTTGCTTGAGTTTCAGAACAAAAGGGGTTTTGTTTTATGCAAGATGCATGGTTCATCATGTTAGGATTTTGCTTTATATCAGGATTTAACCTTCTTGTGTTTAATTTAATGCATCTACAGAATCCCAACAGATCTATAAACTTCCCTCAGTACCCTTCCTTAGAGGATGATTATAGAAAGGGGTAAATGAAATAATGAATGGAATGGTTGCAATCATCTTGGTAGATAATAAGTGATTTTTAAGATACAATTAATTGCTTAAAAGAAAAGCAGTCTCATCTTTGGTTTCTTCTGTTATGGAATTTTTGTTTGTTTTTATTTAGCCTATTATTGTTAGCTAGATGGTTATGAATGCTTCCGTTGTTGGTTTAACGAACTCGTATGTTTATATTTAGAGCAGTCCGCTAGCTTTGGCGCAAGCGCACGAGACAAGAGACAAACTCATGGCATCACATACGGAGTTAGCTGAAGAAGGAGCTATTCAAATTGTGATTATTAAAACAACTGGTGACAAAATACTATCGCAACCACTTGCAGACATAGGTGGGAAGGGATTGTTCACAAAAGAAATAGATGAAGCGCTTATAAATGGGGACATTGACATTGCTGTTCATTCAATGAAAGATGTTCCTACATACTTACCAGAGAAGACTATTTTACCGTGTAACCTTCCACGAGAGGATGTTAGAGATGCATTTATATCATTGAGTGCGGCTTCACTAGCTGATCTACCGGCTGGAAGTGTTATTGGTACTGCTTCACTTAGACGAAAGTCACAAATCCTTCACAGATATCCATCTCTAACCGTAAGCTAGTGTTTCTGTCATTTTAGTTGTCTGGAGCATTGAATGAATCTGATTGATTTTTATTTAACCTATAATTATAATCTCAGGTGCAAGATAATTTCCGTGGCAATGTCCAAACAAGGCTTAGAAAACTCAGTGAAGGGGTTGTCAAAGCTACCTTATTGGCTTTGGCTGGACTGAAACGATTAAATATGACAGAAAATGTAACTTCAACCCTATCAATTGATGATATGCTTCCAGCTGTTGCCCAAGGTGCAATTGGAATAGCCTGTAGGAGTAACGATGATAAAATGGTGAGCGTTTAACTTATATTTCATGAACTTGTCACTTGTCTAACTTGATGAAAACACTTTTTTTGTTTAAATTTTCTCCGTTTAATGTATAAATATATTTTGTGAGCTATAGTATCATCATACCTTTAGGGACACGAGGCTGATTTTTATATTGATGAAGAGCTATTGCGTCAAAATATTTCAATCTAAGGAGTTAAGGATTTCCACTGTGATATAGTTGTGCAGTTTAGTTTTATCGTATTTGGTTGTCTGATTTCTGCAGGCAGAATATCTTGCTTCGCTGAATCATGAAGAAACACGACTAGCAATTTCCTGTGAAAGAGCCTTCCTTACAACTTTGGATGGGTCGTGCCGAACCCCTATTGCAGGGTATGCTAGCAGAGACAAGGATGGCAATTGCTTGTTTAGAGGATTAGTTGCTTCCCCTGATGGAACCCGTGGTATGTGCATCTTTGCGATGCTTCTTTTTGGCTTTCTAGTTTCCAGACATATTATAAGTTCCCATTCTTAACCTAAACTCTGTATGTGCAGTGCTTGAAACATCTAGAATTAGTCCTTATACTTATGAAGATATGATGAAGATTGGTAAGGATGCCGGTGAGGAGATTCTTTCTCGAGCTGGACCTGACTTTTTTAAAAGTTAACATCCTAGATTATAAGTTTCAACACTCAATCGGTAACACATGTATGGTAGGTTGTATTATCAGAGCTTTTTTAAAGTTGCCGCACCCCGTTTTGTCTATTCTTTTTTCAACTGAACTCCTTATCAGGATCAAATTGTTGTATTTTATTAGGTCATTGGATAGCCAAATTTTTGTAATATTTATTGTTCCTGCAATAGTCAAGTTTTAGAATTCGTGCTTCACATTCACACCCAAGTTTCAGTGGGTGATTCTTGACTCGTTCAGGAAAGCAACAATTAAATTACCTGTCCGCGTTGTTTGCTAAATAATGTTATAGTAATATAGTTATAACAGGTGTGCTATTCTTACACCCATTTTTACACCAAACACTATTTCACCGTAGTGAACATTGTTTTTTAAAATAAATATATATTTTATAAACAGTAATTTAAACAGTATGTGAACATCGTCCGTTAACAGTATCAATGAACAATGTACGTAAATAATATATGAACTGTGATTTTTAATGATAAAATAAAGTTGGTTAATGAAGTGTAGAAAATTGATTAATAAAGTGATGAAGTTGGTTAATAAACACTTAGATATTAAAAATAAATTTTAGTAATAAAATAAAATTGATTAATAAAATGTAAAAAATTGGTTAATGAAGTTATGAAATTGGTTAATAGTAAGTTCAGATTTTTAATAGTTATGAAATTGATTAACGAAATATAAAAAATTGGTTAATGAAATTATGAAATTGGTTAATAAACTATTCCGATTTTTAATAGTTATGAAGTTGGTTAATAAAAATTAAAATATTGGTTAATGAAATTATGAATTTGATTAATTACTGTTCACCGTATTAATGAACAGTAAAATATAGTGTAAGTGTAGGAATTGATGTAAGAATAACATTTTTCTAGTTATAATGTTGAGTTCCTAAAAGTTTTGAAATTGCAAAAAGGAGTTGGTTTGTTGAATTTGAAGCGGATCATGGAGGGATTGAAAGAAAAAGTGTAATCTAATGAAGATATGTTGCAACAATATGTAGCATTCTTTATGCATTGTTTTATAGAGGGTCCTTGTTCATTATCTAGTATCATTTCCTTTCATCATCTTACTTGGCAGCCTTGGTATTTTGGCCATTGTGTATTCAGCATAAATTCTTGCTGTTATTTCTGAGAAAAAATATCAATAAGTTTGGTATACAAATTTTGCTCACTTGAATGAACATTGAATGTTTACAGTAATGTTTGGAGAATTTAAAAAATATTTGGAGAATTTAAAATGCCACCTTCTAAATTATAGTTGGCACCCCCAACTTTTTTTATTCTGCTTTTATTTTTGGATGAAATTTTTGGATGAAATTTTCAGTAGAAAGAGAGAAATTTTTGGTACCACCTAAATTTGCGGTACACTCTTGACAAATTTCTGATACCCTAAATTTTTTGTAGTGTATATAAAATTTTCGGTATATCGGAAATTTCAATTTAAGTGAAATTTCCGTAAGTATTAAAAATATGGTTTTTTAAACGGATGAGATTTTAACAACATATTTGAATGGTTCTAATTACACTGACACATTTTTATGGTTTAGAGTGCATCACCATTTGTATAAATAGGGGCATCTGTTAGAGAAAATACATCTTAAAAATATGTCTCTTCCTTAATTTCTGATTAAGGCAGAAGTGTATTACAACGTTAACAACCCTCTTGTTGAGTTCAAGCTTTCAGATGACTCCGAATCATTTGTCACCTTGAAAGAAATGTTGAATAATTTGCTGCCTGATTCTGATAACAGAAGGGTAACAAAGGTAGAGTTCCAGGACCATTATATTGATACAGATGGTTGGGTGAAATACAAGCTGATCGAGTTGAAGAAGGATGAAGATGTGAAGGCTATGTGGAAAATATTTCGCCGTAGGATAGCTAAAGGTCTGATCGAGTTGGATGCGCATATTCGAAGACCCGTCGACGACATAATAAAGTTTTTGAAACGTCCAGAATCTTTCAGAAGTGCCTAGCTAGGTTTTTTTGTTTAGTTGTTTTTAGTTTATGTTTGTCATTTTTTGTTTATGTTTGTTGTATTGTTTTATGTTTGTTGTAATGGTTTATGTTTATTATATTGTTATAGGGTTTCACCAAAAACAATATGCAATAAATAAGATGTTTGTTTGTCACAAAATACATATTATACAACAAAAATAAAATAGATCTACATAGGTCCTCCACGGGCTACATCGGTTAACCTAGCTAAACATCTATAGATCTCACCATCTGGGTCTACCAAACCCATGAGACTGTCAGCATGAACTGCAATAAACTGAAGTCGGTTGTCCTGATCTCCTGCATGTGGTGGAGGTGGTGATGGTGGCTCGGTAGATGGGCTAGCACCAGAAGGCCCTGGAACATCAGATGTTGTAGCCGGTGGTATGACCCGAGAGTGTGACACTATGAAACCACTTCAAGTATCCGTCCTCGCACTGCTCTGGCTGCTGAACCTCGACGACTGTATCCATGATCTCACGGAGGGAGGTGAGGATGTGACTCTGAAACCATCTATCAATCCCACCAGCTAGAGACTCTGGAACTGGATGAGGGATGCCATGTACATAACCAAACTGGCGTAGACACCTCTCAGGAAAATGTCTAGCCACATGGGTCTCCCATCTAATATGTCCTGAATATAAAGTAGATACCTCAAATGGATGATGAGAGCGATGAGATGTATAGGGTGTCCAGATAACATCGTTCAAGGTCAGAGCGTCAAGCCTCCTCTAGTACTCCATCTCCTGGAAATGCCTGTGTGGCCTTCCATCTCCTTGCACATGGCTCAGGTGCAGTGACACGCTGGATCTTTCGCTCACGGATGTGAGGGAAATGCTTGTATATCCAACACTACATAAATAAAAACCATCATATAAATATACCTAAATAATTAATAAAAATCATTAAATAAATAAGTAGATACCTATAACAAGATGAGGTAACCAACAAGTTGTCTGGTCTCAGGACGAGAAGCAAAGTCAAGTTCCGAGTACAACATGGTCAAAGCTGCCACTCCCCAAGCCCAGTATGAAGTGTCAAGTACGCTGAAGAGAGACAAATACCTAACATTAATATAAACTCCAGACTTGTCTGCAAAGAGAGTACATGCCACCAGATGTAGCATGTACGCCCTAGCGGCAGCCTGGTACCTAAGTGCCTCCATAAGCTCCTTATACAAGCTCCTCAACCAAGACATTCGTAGGTGAAATCCCCGAGTCTCACCAAAATCCTTTAGCACCTCCGCCTCATAATACTCTAAATCCTCCATAACCATGCGCACGGTCGTCGCCTGATCCCTATAAACTGGTGTAAAAAGTACCAGCAATCGGAATGTGAAAGAGGGTGTCCACATCATGTAAAGTCATTGTCATCTCCCCAAATGAAAGATGGAAGGATGATGTCTCCGGGTGCCACCTCTCAACAAAAGATGATAAAAGGGAGGCATCCAACATGGTCAAAGAACAACCAGCTAACTCTAGGAGATGGAACTCGCTAACGATCCTCCTCACCTCCTCAGGCATGGGACTCTCAGGGAAGTGTTTCAACTTCGACCCATGAAAAGCGACCTTCAACACCGGACACTCCTGTAAGAATCAAAAACAAATTATTATACATCAAATAATTTAAGGAAAAATAAAAATTATGCAATTAAAGAAAACCAAAAAAATATACCTCGCCTAGCCATATCCTATACGCGACATGGTTTGTAAATTCTGTCAGCACGGACCTGTCTGAAGGTCATCCAGAGAAATCTCCATTAGTGTGTACTGATGGCTCTATAGACACATGAGTCATGGTTTCTGTATAGACGGGGGACACCTCAACAACTTGCTCAGTAACACCCTCTTGCTCAGGCTCCTACACCACAAGCTCCACAATGTGCTCCTCAACTATTGGCTCCACAATAGGAGCAGGAGCATGTAACTCCTCAGCAGGAGCCTGTACCTCCTCAGCAGGAGCATGTACCTCCTCAACAGGAGCCTGCACATCCTTAGTAGATACTTTATGACCCCGACGATAGGGTGCGCAGAACTGCACATGTTGCTCAGCCATCTGTTTTCGATGAGAACCGGTCGGAGGATGACATTTAACCTGTAGCTCTGATGCATGTGCCTCGTTAGTACGGGCTTCAACATCAGCTATGTCAGTGATCTGTCCCACAATAGAACCATCCCTGCCTCTGGTCCTCACTGCAAAATAAGAAAATATAAAAAACTGGAAATTTTTCAAAAAAAGTTGTACTACTGGAAATTTCAAAATTTCCAGTAGTATATGACACTCCGGAAATTTCAAAATTTCTGGTGTAATTGAAAAATGAAAATATCAGATATTTTGAAATTTCCGATACGAAAATACCGGATATTTTGAAATTTCCAGTACAAAGTATCGGATATTTTGAAATTTCCAGTACAAAGTACCAAAAATTTCACAAAAATACCGTATATTCTTACTATTTCGCTAAATTTCCGATAGCGCCTACGAAATTTTCGGTATCGCCCAAAAATTTAAAAAATCCAGTGGTTCACGAGAATTTCAAATTTGTGGTGAATGATTTAGGTCTGAGCAATTTAGTCTTTTCATACTCTTTAGAAGGGTGTCATATATAATTTGAGGGTTGTCAAGTTAAATTCTGTAATATTTGTAACATGTATGTACTATCAAGGCTCTATGCATGTATATCATGTATATACAAGAACTTGTTGCCTTAAGAGTACCTTAATAAAGATGAGTATATCTCTTGAAAACTAATTTTAGAAAAGGGATGTAATTCAAGGAGGATGAGCAAAGCAGCCTCTTATTGAGAGGTTAATATGTGCCAAAATATTTAATTCTAAACGATTATGAACAAAGCAGCCTCTTGAAATTGTGGACATCAATCTTGTTTATGGCCAACCTGCAAACTTTTGATGTTAGGGATAATAATGTGATGCACTCAATAGGCATGTGATTTTTCATATGAATTTTTCCCG